GGAAGAGGTTCCTCCAGTGACATCTCCCCAAGCAGCCAGCCAACCACACTAGGCCTTCATTCTCTCCGTTCAACAAGGGGTTTTGAAAAGTACTCACTTTTGGCAGATTTCAGGGGTGTCTGAACAGCTTCTGCTGTTAGTTTGTTTATTTCTGTGATATCCAGGTCAGCCTGTAATGAACACAGCCAGAAAACAAAAGGTATATTCCATCAAATATGAGGAACAATATTTTAAGATTAAAAACATTAATTAAAAAACATATTCTTGGGACTTCCCTGGTGGCGCAGTGGATAGGACTCCGTGCTCCCAATGCAGGGGGCCCGGGTTCGATCCCTGGTCAGGGAACTAGATTCTACATGCATGCCACAACTAAGAGTTCGCATGCCACAACTAAGGAGCCCATCTCCTGTAACTAAGGAGCCCACGAGCTGCAACTAAGGAGCCTGCCTGCCGCAACTAAGACCCCATACAACCAAATAAATAAATAAATAAAATATTAAAGACAAAAAACCCAAAACATATTCTTTGATACATACAAAAGATTGTTATGTTAGTTACAATACAAAATATTGAACTTCCATAAACCCACCATACTAACAAAGGCCTAAAACATTGCCAATTACTTGCTTCTAGGCTATGTATTTTTCCCTGTTCTATTTCCTTGCCTCTCCTCGAAAGGTGGCCAGTCTCCTAATTCTGTCATTCCTTAGAGATAACCACTATCATCATTCCATTTGCTTGAAAGAAAGTGTGTGTGTGTGTGTTTCTCCACAAATGTGTATGTGCTTAAACAATATTTTGTTTGCTTTTGTTTTTGATCACTATTTGTGGTTGTAGTTAATTTGTTTTCACTGCTATGTAATATCTATCACGATGGATTTGTTCAATCTCCTCTCAACAGTATTTTGCTATTACAAACACTGTTACTTTCAACTGTCTTATACATGTGTCTGATGCACACCTGTCCAAGTTTTCTCTTGGCTATATACTTAGGGATGGGGCATTACAGGGTTGTAGGGTACACAAGTGTTCAGCCTTAATATTATGCAAAGTTGTTTTCCAAAGTGATTGTACTTGTTTACATGCCAGGAGCAAACAAGTTCCTAATGACCCATATTCTCTACCATACTTGATGCTATGTCAGCCTTCTCATTTTTTCCCTCCAGCTTTATTGAGGTATAATTGACAAATAAAATTCTAACATATTTAAAGTGTACAACATGAGGATTTGTGATACATACACATTGTGAAATGATTACCACAATCAAGTTAATTAACACATTCAGCACCTCACATAGTTACTGTAAAAAAATTTTTTTTATTTTTTAAAGTCTAGAGGGCCAAAAGTTTTTCTACTCTGCCCCTGGGGCCTTCAAAAAGGCTTCCAGTCGCCATTCTAATTAAATTTGTTCCCAGTGGTAACTATATGTATGGGAATAGGCAAAAGCAGGCATGATTCACGGGCCTTTTCTTGCAGGGCACGTGTAAATATCAGAATAGTCGTTACAGACTGGGAATGACACAGGTTTCATCTCTGGGCTGGCAGAGACTACATGGAGTACTCAGACGGGGATTCTGAAGCTGTCAAGGCTTAGCTTAGAAAGTGCTGTGCTAGACAGACGAGTGCTGTCTGAAACGGATGATGGAATGGAAAGTGGCTACTGAACATTTGAAATGAGGCTGGTGTGTCTGAGGAACTGAATATATATAATTAATTTAAAGAGCTACACGTAGTTGGTGGCTACTGTAACAGACTGTGCAGATCTAAACTCTTTACTCTGCCTCATCTAGCAGGCCAGGTCACCGTGTAATGATGCAGGGGCTTAAAGGAACTTGGACTTTAGGCTTTCTACTTCCCCTGCAAAGGTCCGGGCAAAGAGCTGCAAGGAACCTGCCAAGAAAAGAACTACCTCTCTTTATAAACCTTGAAATTATCTGCGCTTCATGTACTCAGCATTTGACAACTATAATTTTTTTGTTGACACAGATAATGTCCCCTCTGGAACCTCTTCCACAGTCAGCACCCACTGGTTGAATTTTGTGAACAGACTAAACTTAAAACTAACCAACAGTTCAAAAATAGGAGAAGTCACTTACTGTTGCTGCTTCCTCCAGCGCCCGCTTGTTTCCTCCAAGGGCTTTGAAAAGAACGTTTTGTTTAGTTACTATCAGATTTTAATAATTTAAATGATAAACCATCCTCCCTAATATGACCACTTACTTTTCTTACACTGGACCAGATTAAGCCCTTGATCCAACACTCAGGAGCCTTTACAACCTAGTTTAACCTCTCTCCAAGCTTGACTGTTCCCCTCATGGCTTATTCTAGGTTCCACCACACCAAAGTGCCTGTTATTTCCCAAATGTGCCACTGTCTCTCATGACTCAGTGCCCTGGTACTTATTTCCTCTGCCCGAAATAATCCTCTGCACCCAAAAAATTTCTAATTCATACTTCAAAACTCAGCTCAAACCCAAACTGTGCTTATTTTTCTCTCTCAGCAGATCGCTGCAATGTGCTGAGTTAGTTGCTCACTATCGTCATATCCAACAACTACTCAAAGCTGTAAAAGTGCCCTGCCTTGAACTGAACTCTTTGAGGACAGAGATAATACCCATAGCTTCTGGCAAAAATACGTCGCACAGGGCTTCCCTGGTGGCGCAGTGGTTGGGAGTCCGCCTGCCGATGCAGGGGACACGGGTTCGTGCCCCGGTCCGGGAGGATCCCACATGCCGCGGAGCGGCTGGGCCCGTGAGCCGTGGCCGCTGAGCCTGCGCGTCCGGAGCCTGTGCTCCGCAACGGGAGAGGCCACAACAGTGAGAGGCCCACGCACCGCAAAAAACAAACAAACAAAAAGTCACACAGTAGGTATGGAGTGAATGTGTATTGAATGAAGAGGTCTTTGCAGATTTAGATGTAGAATAATAACTTAGGTTAGGTCCTCTGGCTGGAAAAACTGGTAGTATCCCCTATAATAGTTAAGAACTCAGGCTTTGGAACCAGAATGCCTAGGTTCAAGTAGACTGTCACTAACTAGCTTATGAGACTTTGAGCAAAGTAAACAATCTCTGTGCTTTAATCTTGTCTATAAAACAGGGATAATATTAACAATTAATATGGTTGTGATGAGGATGAAATTAGTTAATATATGGAAAACACTTGGTACAGTGCCTCTCTGCCATAGAAAGCACTATATAAATGTGCTCATTGACCACTACTCTGTTCTCTTTAGTAGTACTCATAATTTTAAATATATAATCATGTCCAAATTTTAAAAATGATCCTTCTCTACTAACTTGTAAGTTCCTGGAGGCAAGGACAACGCCTGTTTTATTTCCCAATGCATCTTCAGCACCTAGCACTGTGCCTAACACATGCTCAATGAATACTTGCAGAGATGCACAAATAGGTTAATAAATAAAAGGGGAAGTCAAAAGCCTCACTGAACGTCTACTATGTGAACAGAACATGCATTGCTATCCAGGAAGGAGGCTATATACTGGGTAAAGAACAATAAGGAAAATAGTAAAAGTAAGGGTAACCCAGCAAAAGGACAGCCTTTTGCATTTCCTGGGACATTTGGCAAGGGGGTGGGGAACAGGCTGGGAGTTTTCTCTGGCCAGGAAAACTCTTGAGTCCTGCACTTCACAATTTGATATGCCCATTTTAAAATTGGCATTTTCCCTAAGCTGCAGGAAAAGCTGCTTGGGATTATCCTTCCAACTGAGGTCTGGTAATAAACCAAGCCACACATTCATTTTCAAAGGGTTGGATAAAATATCCCCCCCCCCCCCCCCCAAAAGAGTATTTCATGACACGTGAAATCTATGTCAAATTCACATTTCAGTGTGTCCATAAGTAAGTTTTTATTGTAAAACAGCTATGCCCATTCATTGCAGCTGTTTTGGAACCATAACAGCAAAGTTGAGTAGTTTCGACAGAGAACCCTCTGGCCTACAAAGCCTAAAATATTTATTATCTGGTCCTTTAGAGAAAACGTTTGCCTGCCTGCAGAGGTAGATGAGGGCAAGAGCTAAGGAGAAAAGTAAAGCCGGGAGGTGAGACAGGGAGTGGGGGGAAGGAGTAGGGCTGCAGTTTCCTACAGCGATCTTGGAAGACCTCACTAAGAAGACGAAGGCTGCCATGGTAACCACAGAAGGGCTCCAGGCAGAGGCCTGGGGAAAGACTAGCAGCTCTTACCGAAGTAGTCGAGCCAGTTCATCTCGCGCAGCGCCTTGGGGAGTCGCAGGATCTCGATGTTGTACAAGTTATCCATCTCCTTGAGGAGGTTCTGCCTGTCTGACTGAATCTGCTTGGATCGTATTTGCACTGCGAGAGGGCAGAGCGGACGGGACACGGGTCACCCGGCGGGCGAATGCGGCCTGGAATCCGTGCTGCCAGCGCCCCAATCCGCCAGCACCCCGCGACTGCCCCAGGTGCTAGCGACCACCCGGGCTCCGCCCCTTACCTTCACGGTCGAAGTCCTTAAGAAAAGAGGCGAGCTTTCGGCTCCGTACCGAGCTGGTCTTGGTCACCCGACTGCCGCCCTTCCTAGCCGGAGCCATGGCGCTTCGATGGAGGCTGCGGGGAGAGGGGGCCGAGCCACAAGGCGTCGGCGGCGGAGACGGGGAGGGACAAGGGGCCGCAAGGGTGAGGGAAAGGGCGGAGGGCACCTCAGGGGCTTTGGAGGGGGACCCCTGCCCTTCGGGGCCTGGGCATAAAAGATCTGCGAGGCACCCACCTGTGGGTCCCGAAACAGGGGCTGAGAAAAACCTGGCTGCTTCAGCTGAGAGAGAGCGTCTCCGGGGCTAACCGGACGTGCGACCGCCGCCACCAAATTCAAACTGCCACAGTCTGACCAGTGAGAAGCCGCCGTCTTAGGAGGATCCCACAATAACCAATCACAGGGAAGCTCTGCGATCGGACAGCCAGTCCACATGTAGGACTACAGTACCCAGAAGGCATTGACGACATATTTTCGCGACTCGGTAGCCATGTTGGGGCATGCGTAGAGAGACTCGGAGGCGGGCTGGGGCCCTTGGAAGGTTCTTAAACTTTGATTGCTTTAGCTTTAAGTTTTCCCGCTGGTTTAGGGAAAGCGACCCGCAGCCTCAAGGAGAGGAGACAAGCTTCTGGCTCCGGACGCACGGATAGGCCCGGGGAACCCGTAGTCTAAAACAGGAAACTGCCCGAACCCGGACGAGCCTCCTCCGAGCGATAGTCAGGAAGCGCTTCCCGCGGTGGGAAACAAGGGTCCTGCCTTCCGAGAGCCCCTCTAAAGGTAAGACAACGCCTTGCGTTAGAAACTCCTGTCGGGAGGAGTAGACGGCCCTACCTGAGGAAACGCTGTTCTCACCTGCGAACGGAAATAACTCCCACCCATGACCCGGTCCTTCCCCTATCGATTTGGAACCCTAATGCTTTTTTTGGTTTTTTTTTTTTTTTTCCTTCCCCCAACGGAAGATGACTCAAGACCAGCCTTTGCTCGCGGTGCAGGAGGCCCTGAGGAAGTGCTTTCCCGTGGTGGAGGAGCAGCAGGGCCTGTGGCAGAGCGCTCTCAGGGACTGCCCGCCCCTCCTGGCCTCCCTCAGCAACCTGGCAGAGCAGCTGCAGGCCGCACAGAACCTGCGATTTGAGGATGTGCCGTCACTTCGGGCCTTCCCAGACTTACAGGAGCGGCTGAGGCGCAAGCAGCTGGCGGCTGGTGACACTCTCCTGGACAGGCTAGGGGAGAGGCTGTAAGAGGCTCAGTGGCGCTCGCTCTTGGCGGAAAGATTTTAAAACTGGGTGTTTAATAAGCTAGGATCAGTCGGAAGAGTGTTTTTCTTCTTACTTGAGAGCGTGGTATTTAGGGATATGTCAACCTTACCTCCTTTCCGTTTGTTGCAATGGGATCTCTGTCAAGAAGGCATTTTCTGGCACCTCCCTTGTCAGACTAGGCGTGACAGTGGTGGACTTAGTAAAAGTTATCAAAGCAGAACAGAAGAGCAATGGGGATCGCTTATTGGCCCTCCTCTATAGTCTTTCTTAGGTAAAAAGCAGTGAGGAGCTATACTGTAAACTTATTAGGTGCCAGAGCTAAGGGTTCTACATACATTATCTCATAAAATCTTTTCAACACCTCTTTGACTTAACCTCACTTAATTAATTTTTCCGGTGAGGAAACTGAGGCTCAAGCAGATTGCCTATGGTTGTGCAGTTAGTAAATAGTAAAACTGGGATTCTAACCCAAGTATGCCTGACACCAGGGCCACTTGTTCAGCTGTTCATTGGTGTCTGCGTGCCCGGAGTAGCACGTCTCTAAGCTCTTACTATGCCTAATGTTAGACCCTCTACCTTAGAGCTACAGGTAATTGAGGATAGAGAAGAGACAGGGCACGTATGGCCTTTCCTTGACCAGGACAAGAGAAGGTTCTAGTGTGTAGAGTCTGTGCCATAGACTAATAGGAAACTGTCAAAGATGGGGCCTTCTTTGTATTCATTTGTACAAAAAACATTTATTAAGCACCTATGGGATGCCAAGCACAGGTGTTAGGAATACAACAATGAAGCAGACTTAGTTCCTAAGCTGAGTAAAAGAGAGAGACAAGACAATCAATTAAATTAGGTCACGGTACGTTCTGAGATAGTGGCCTTTGATTTCAATTGATTACGTGTTTGTGTGTGAGTATCAGGCTGTTACTTTTAAGTCTATTTTTTAATTGTGAGTCACAGTCAAACATTTTTGAAAGCTGCAATTCTAGGCTAGGGACTGCCTTGCCCTTTGGGAAGTTGTAGCCTTCGTCTTGGTGGCTGGGCCCCTTGGAGTCACCAATGGAACAATAACAAAATTTACCATAAGCTAGGCACTTCGCGAAGCACTTAATATGCATTGTTGCACTTACTCTTCACAACAATCCTTGTCATTCATTGGACAATTGTTTGTTGTTCTGTCTGCCGGTCTCGATGTTTTAGGTACTTAGGATGCACAGTGAACAAAAGAGACTGTTTTTATTCGTGATTGAGAATAAGTAACTTTCCTAAGATCCACAGTAGTCTGGGTGTGTCAAGAGCCCAAATCTTACCTGTTCAAGAATTCACTAGTATGGGGCACGAGGTAGCATGAGAACACTGCTGGTTTGTTGCTTCAGTTTCGTCTTGCTTATTCCTCTCACGTACATTGCATTGGACTGTGTGTGAGCATTTGCTGTCCTGTATGGCAGCCCCAGAAGGGCCGCTTGGTCTTTACTTTCTTTGGCAGCTGGGAATAACATCATCACACAGCTTTGAGAGCCGTGTAACTTCAGCCTCTCCATCTTTAAGTCAGTTCTGAATTCTTGAGCCACCCCTGCCTCCAAGGCACCATCATCAATCTCCGTAGACGAATGGATCTCATTTGGAGCAGTTTTTCCCACTGGGATGTGTGGCAGTAAATATCTGGAGACGTTATTGATTGTCACACCTTGGGAACGGTGGAGGCATGGTTTGTTCTTGTCGTCTAGTAGGTAGAGGTCAGGGATGCTTCTGAACATCCTGCAATGCACAGGGCAGCCCTCCACCACAAAGAATCATCTGGTCCAAGACGTCCTTAGTGCTGAGGCTAAGGAACCTGGCCTTAGGCCTTTCTCATGATATTGCCTAATATCAGACTCTTCCCCCAGAGCCGCCCTCCTCAAGGTGCGTGATGTAGTCAGCAGCCACGTGGAACACGTGCTTCAGGTCTATGAGCAGCATGCAGACATGATCAGCCTCGATGCTGTCCTGCAGGCTTCAGCTGCAAGCCCCTCTGTGGCTGAAATGTTGGAGTGGTTACAGGATATCGAGAGACATTATCGAAGTTTGTATCCTTTGCACACATTTCAGGTAGTTCCAGAACTGTTCCAGGAAGTCTTTTTAATTTCAGTTTTCACAAGATTGCCCAAAAATACATAGTATGGGTCAGTTCTCTTTGGTTCTTGAACTTGGATTCTTTCTGCATTCCTTTGTACAGTCATTCCTTAAATCACTTACTGAGTAACTGCTCCCTGCCAGGCGTTGCTCTAGGTGCTAGAAGATAGGCATTAAAAAAAGGAAATTGTATAGAATGTCAGATGGTGATAAGTGCCTTGGAGAAAAATAGAGCAGGGAATGAGGAAAGCGAGGGGTGAGGGTGGGCTTGTGGTTTTAAATAGGGTGGTCTGGGAAGGCCTCACTGAGAAAGTGGTATTTGAGAAAAGACCTGAAGAGGGTGAGGGAGAGAACCATGGGGGTATTTGGGGGAAGAGTGTTCCAGGTAGAAGAAACAGCAAGCGTAAAGGCCCTGAGGTGACAGCGAGCCTGGGATGTTCAGGAAGTAGCAAGGCGGCCAGTGGGGCTCGAGCCAAGTGAAAGGGGGGTGGTCTAACAGGAGATGTGGTCAGAGAGGCAGAGCTAGGCCTGGTGGGGCCTCCAAGGTCTTTGAAAGGATTTTGGCTTTTACTCTGAGTGAGATGGAAAGCTATAGAAGGTTTTGAGTAGAGGAGTAACCTGATCAGACCTATGTTTTCAACAGTATCACCCAGCTATGTTCTGAGGAAGGACTTGGGTAGAAGCAGAAAGACCTGTTAGTTGGAGTTCTCTCACCTTTTTCCTCTCAATTCTTGCCTGTTAGTCGCATCTACCCTCTGGCTGGAGTTTCTACCTTCATTTGAATCAGTCCCAAGCCAACCTTTATTCTTGCCTCTAGTTTTGATTTTCAGTTTCCTGCAGATGCCTCCCACTGGAATCTCGCGGAACTGCAAGCTGAAATGGAGAATTGAAATCCTCCGTCCAGCGCTCCTGTTCAGCTCCTGTTTCCTTAAGTTGTAGCATCAAACCTGTCTGATCACTTAGTCTGGAGACTTAAGCAGCATTTTCCCCCCTTCCTGCTGTTTTCTGCTTGCAGCGTAGCAGCATCGGCCACAGTGGTGGCAACAGCAGCGTGGGCAGTGGGAGCAGTAGCTGGGGCCACCCTCACTGAGCGCTTATGGTGTGCCAGCTGCCGTTGTAAGAATGTTTGCACTCAGCTGTTAAGTCCTTCCATTCTGTTTCCTTGGTGCTTCTTGTAGTTTCCTTCTCTATCCCCACTGACTCTACCATTGTTTCTCACTTGGACCCTTAATCACATGCAGTCTCTAGACAGGTTTCTCTGACCCTGGCTTCTTTCCCTCTAAGCCACCCCCGGGTAGTGGCCTCACTCCGCAGATCTATCTTCCGGAAGTCTCGTTTTGATCCTGTTGCTTGTGTAGGAGTTTTCAGTAGCTTCTGGTGCTCTGAGGACGAGAACCCCCGTGCTGGTCTTTGTGTTCTGGCTCCACCTGCCCTCTCAGCCACCTTTCCTGCTACTCTGCACATCGTTCCACGCCAGCCGCACTGGAAATGTCCTGTCCCTGAATCCATTATGTGCTGGAATCCTCCTCCTGTCCTCTAAAGGCGATGAACTCGTCCTCTGAACTTCCACTGAGTTTTATCTTTCCTGTCATTTAGAGTCTTTTCAGTTTCTGGTTTTTTCTCACCACGGTGAGATCCCAGATTGCAGGGACAGTGTTTCTGTCCTTTTCCCTGTAGCCCAGAGCCATGTGTGTAAAGAAGGGCTCGGTAAAGATGTGTAGCAGAGGCGAGTCCTGCCCACCTGGTAAATGTAGCAGTAGCTGCGCTTTCACTTTTCTCGCTCCCAGGAGCTCTCTCCAGGGTATTTTCTTCCTTCAGCATATTTCATTTTCTTTTTGAGCACCTTCCTTAACTCCCAGGAAGGTACCTGAAGAGGAAGTACCTTCTGTCCTCAATCCAGTGGGGAGACTTGGGAAACATCCAAGCTTTGCCCAAAGCCTGGGACCGAATTTCGGAAGACGAACACCCAGACCTTGTACGAGGTACTGGTTTTCATTTAGTCCTTCGTGTCTCCTCCCCTCCTTTCTGTGTCTCACCTCTTTGAAAGCATATAGAGATGCCCTCATGGTGCCTTTGTAGCTTTTACAAATCTGATGTTTTGTGTTTTCTGGAGAGGTGGTATGCCATGTGTTCTCTCTCTTCCTGTTCCAGATATCCTGTTGAATGTTTCCTTCTTCCTGGAAGAGTGAAGAAGCCGTGTGTTCATCGGGAGACTAGGGGGACGCAGTTGAAGACCGACCTTACTGCGCTCTGATATTTCTAAAGAAATGTCAGCATTGCAACTGGACTTACTGGAAATGTCAGCGCCTAGAGCCTGAGGATTGTACTGGATGTTGGGTCTTCTTCATGCCAGGTCCTGGGTGAGGGCACATGGTCACACCTTGCCCTTTCCTATGGCTCAGGGGAGTGGACAGAGACAGAGAGGATGCAGGAAAGGCCGTGCAGAAGAACACTGGGGGCAGAAGCAACAGCCACAGAAGTGGTAAGGAAGGAAAGGACAGGGGTAGAGAGTGCCGCTGCCCCCAGCATCATCCAAAGCTCTGAGCCTCGTTGACACCAGGTCCTGGTTTCGTGTATTTGTGTCAGTATCCAACTCCTTGATGAAAAAAAGTGGCTTTGATGATTTAAAGAAGGAAGGGGTGGGACTTCCCTGGTGGTCCAGTGCTTAAGAATCCTCCTTCCAATGCAGGGAACACAGGTTTGAACCCTGGTCAGGGAACTAAGATCCCACATGCCGAGGGGCAGCTAAGCCTGCGTGCTGCAACGAAAGATGCCGTGTGCCGCAACTAAGACCTGACACAGCCAAATAAATAAATAGATATTTTAGAAAAATAAAGAAGTAGAGGTGATATTGGTGGAAAACAGTTACTGTTTTCGAATTGCAGTAGCTCCTTATCATCAAAACAATTTTAGTTTCCAGAGCCTACCACCAGGGGGAGGTGGTGCAGCATGAATTATTCTGAATGCTTTGTGTTTGGAGGGGTTCTCTTGTTGCTCTTACTATCTGAGAGTAAGGAACTGGGGATAGTGGGACTCCTCAAATAACAGTTTTTTGTTTTTTGTTTTTTTTAAACCAAAGCTGCTGAGTGACTTGCTACAGTTCTCTGATCTTGGGGTGGCTGCGTGGATGGGAGAACACCAGCTCACAGTCAGGTGTTCAGGGTTGGGTTTCTGAGGCCCAGTGCCTTCATCAGTGAAATGGTCGTGGTACTTCCCGACCTGTCAACTTCCTGGGCTGGTGTAAAAATATGGGTCATTGGATGTAAAGAGGCTTAATGAAGAATATAGATATTTTTCAAAATGAAAATGACTTTTTTCGTATTACAAAAGTGATATATGCTTTTTAAAAAACAGTAGAGGGCTTCCCTGGTGGCACAGTGGTTGAGAGTCCGCCTGCCGATGCAGGGGACGTGGGTTCGTGTCCCGGTCCGGGAAGATCCCACATGCCGCGGAGCGGCTGGGCCTGTGAGCCATGGCCGCTGAGCCTGCGCGTCCGGAGCCTGTGCTCCGCAACGGGAGAGGCCACAACAGTGAGAGGCCCGCGTACGGCAAAAAAAAAAAAAAAAACAGAAAAATTGTAGAAAACATTTAAAATGCAGAAAAGTATGAAACAAGCTCCACCAGAGATATTTTGTTAAGTATCTTTTTAGTGTCCATATTCACAAGTTTTTTCAACAAAACAATTAGGGTGTTATTGATAAATATTGTTGTTTAAATTATCTTTTAAAAAAATCTTAATATAGTTTGGCCAGTGTTTCATATCTGTGAATATAGCTCAACACAATTAGATGCCATTTCATGAATGTATTATAATGTTATATTTTACATGTATTTTTTTAAGTCATCATGTTTTTCTACCTGTAAGGATAATACATTCTGGCTGTGAAAGATTGAAGTATTACAGAAAGTGAAAAATGCACAATGTCCACCTACCAGATACATAATCATTTTTAATAATCTGGTGTATATTCTTCCAGGAATTTTTTTTTTCTTCCAGAAATTTAAAAAAGTCTGTTCTATCACATATATAATAATTGTAAATAACTTAACTCAAGACATTTGGGTATCAGGTCTTACGATGTGCTGTGGGTACAGAGGTGAAGGAGAGCCCTGAAAAGATTTATAGTTAAACCAGGGAAAGATTTAAACCAGTGTTTCTCAAGTTTGAAAATGTATGTAAATCACTGGTATCTGGTTAAAATTTAGATTCCCATTCTGTAGGTCCTGGGGTGGGGCCCTGGACTCTGCATTTCTAACGAGGTCCCAGGTGATGCTGATGGTCCAAGGACCAGCCTTTAAGTGAAGAGATTTAAACTGTAATATAATAATGCTGTATTTGAGATCAAAACAATTCCATGAGAGAGTAGAGGTGACAGCCAACTGCTTGTGGGACTACTTCGTGGTGACTGTGACATCTGAGTCAGGCCTTGAGGCTCAGAAAGGAGTGCAGGGTGCTGCACGTACAGGGACAGTCTAAGCAAAGGCAGTATTTGAGAAAGAATGGAAGCTGATACCTCCTGGAAGTGTGTGGGCATCGTGCTTGTGGCTTGTACCCCCTAGAACTGGAAGCATTAACAGTTGACTATATATAGCAAGTCACTGGAGTTCACAGGGGGACGGAAGAGTGGCAGGAAATGGGTCTGTAAAGGTGAACTGGAATGAATTTGTGAATGCCATGATCAAGAGTATGTATTTTGCAAATGGGAGTTGCTTGTTTGTTTGTGTGTATGTGTGTGTGTGTGTGTGTGTATGTATAAAAATGAGCTTTGTAAACCTCCCTCATTGAAGCAAGTAATCATGACTGAATAGACACAAGTATGTTTAAGGTGCTAAGTAATAACTATGTATTATTTAAGTATAATTTTTCCTTCTTAGTTTTTTTCTTCTGCTGTTAAATTGCTATCCTAATTTTCCATTTTATTTATTTTCCTTATTTTTTTGGTTGCGTTGGGTCTTAGTTGCGGTACTCGGAGTCTTCGTTGAGGTGTACAGGATCTTTCTGTTGTGGCTTGGGCTCTTCATTGCAGCGCATGGGCTTCTCTCTCTAGTTGTGCGTGGGTTCCAGAGCACGTGCGCTCTGTAGTTTGTGGCTCATGGGCTCTCGTTGAGGTGCACGAGCTCAGTAGTTGCAGCATGCAGGCTTAGGTGCCCCACGGCATGTAGGTTCCCTGACCAGGGATCGAGCCTGCGTCCCCTGCAGTGGAAGGTGGATTCTTTACCACTGGACTACCAGGGGAGTCCCTCTAATTGTCCTTCTTAAATTTACAATTAATTTGGTTTATTTTTTGAGTAAGTGATACTTTCACATTGTACAAAATTCATAGGGTGCAAGTGCATATTCAGTGAAAAGTTCCCCGTTACTCAGTCCCCCTCCCTGGAGGCAGCCAATGTTAAATGTTTCCAGTGTGTCCTTCCAAAAATATTCTTTGCCTCTATGAGTGCAGGGGTGGTTACCCTCCAAGATAGCCCCGTAGATCCCAATGATCCATGCCCTTGTATACTCCCCTCCCCTTCAGTGTGGGCTGACCTGACAGATTCGCTTCTGATGAATGGAAGACAGTGGTAGTGGTGGTTCCAGTGGTGGTCTGGAACTAGGTTATGAGGAAAGACTGGCTTCCATGGTGGGTGCTGTCCCTTGCTCTCCTGGGGAAGTCGTCTGTGAGGCAGCCCTGTGGAGAGCTCACGTGAGAGCCTGATGCCTGCCAGCAACCCCGAGTGAACTTGGGAGCAGACCCTCTTCCCGAGCTGAGCCTTCAGATGAGACCACAGCCCCAGCTAACAGCTTGACTACAACCTCATGAGGACCTAAGCCAAAGGCAACCTAGCTCAGCCGGCCCGGATTCCTGACCCATGGAAACAGATAATAAATGTTTGTCCTAAGTCATTAAGTTTTGGGGTAATTTGTTACACAGTGATAGGTGACTAATGCAAGGAGCAGTATTTTCGTATTCTCTGTAACTTCACACAAATAGTAGCATGCTGTGTATCCAGCTTTGCACCTCGTGTTTGCCACCTACTGTATCTTAGAGATCATTCCATATGAATACGTAAAGAGCTTCCTTAATTTTTTCTAAAAACAGTTGCACAGTTTTCCGTTGTGTGGGTATAACATAATTTATTTAGCCCCTTACTGATGGCCATTTAGGTTGTTTCCAAAGTCTTGACACTTGTTAGGTTTTGGTAGCCCTCCCTCTCACTGCCACCCCTGCTCATGGTTTTTTCCTTGGAATTTTCAGTTAGTTAATACCACCCCACGCACTCACCCCCAATAAAAAAAGAATTCTGTTGGTATTTTTACTGGAATCGTATTAAATTTATAAACTAATTTAGGGAGAATCATCGTAGTGGGAATCCTTCTTGCTCTCCTTTAAGCATGCCACTGGCTCATGGGTTGAGATAGTAAATGTGAGTTTTTTTCTCTGTTTCCCTCAGGTGGGGAAATAGACTCTTGGTGCTCAGAACCCTCTTCCCTGTCCGTGAGACAATCTGTTGGGACGGAATGAAGAATTTGGGTTTCTTTCCTGTCTCTACCCCATCCACATTCAGAATGGACCTCAGAATTCTCTCAGGCAGAGTAGAGGGTTTTCAAAGCCAGTGGGACCCTAGGCTCTGAAGAAAAGAACTTCTCCCTGCCTAGGGAGAATCCAGGCTGTGTGGTCTCTCTGACTTTAAGCAGGATGATGGAGGCCGGGGACCATCTCCAGCTTGTTCAAGCATTGGGTTGTTTGTAATTCTTTCTCCCTGTGAGAAGGTGGGGAGAGCGCACATTTGGAGGAGCAGATTCAGGGATATGGGGAAGGAGCTAGTGTGTTGATAGCCAACTCTGGGGAAACCTTGCTGAATTCAAGTGACCCAGACCTGGGTCCAAGTCTCAGGTCAGCCTCTTACTAGACAGGTGATCTTGGGCGAGTTGTTTTCCTTCCTCTAAGTTTCAGCTTCTTCATCTCTACAATGAAATAGTGACGTTTGTCCTTACAGAGTTGTAAGGCTCAAGTGGGAGGAGACGTGTGAGGGCTTTTGGTAAATTTATAAACATTGAAGGAGCTGAAATTCACTTGAGGTTGATTAGTCACCTACTGAGTGCATAGCTCTGGGCTGTGCCCTTTAGCATGTTTCTCAACCCTTAACAAGCCGTGAAATAAGTATGCTTTGAGAAAGTTTTCTACGTGGCCACAGCTTATCAGTGGCATTGCCGGGATTCGTACCAGGGTTTTCTTGGTTCTGGTGAAAGGAGTCTTTTCCTTACACCACTGTTTCCTCTCTGCCACAGAAGGCAGACGCTCCCTCACACCTCCTCAGCTGTGACAAGAGTTGGTTTCCCGAATACCCAGCCATGCCTGGGACGTGAGTCCTCCAAATGCGGCGGTGAGTGCAGCGCTGCCCCGGTCTGGCTTGGCAGGGACACATGAGGCGTCCAAGGCTCAGGGCACTACAACCTTGCCAGTTACCCTCCTTTCTGATCCCATAGCCAGGAGGGTTGGAGTGCGTCCTGGGGCCGTCTGCCAGAGTCTTACACTTGTGCCCTTTATGCCAGGCGCTGGGAGGAGAAAGCCAGTCCTTCCAGGCACCCTCCCTCCTCCACATCGTTCCTGGAAGGCTCCTTCTTGGTT